TATGGTTTTCCCAGTAATGAATCAATTTTTCTCACCTTTTATACCTTCCCTGAACCTCCACGAACATTTCAAGACTAAGATAAGACAAATCCGTTCAGCTGTTCTCGAGTTTTAGCGAGACTAAGGAACAGCAATCCATTTTTATATATATAGAAGATGAAAATCTTATATATAAATTACACAGCATTATCTATAAATCTCAATACATTTTAAACAGTCATTAACAAGTCATATGTGATAACGTTTTAAAGTCGACCCGATCTCATCCGTACCATCTTCTTAACCCGCCGGTAGTAAAACAAATCCCTACAAAATTGCCTGTTTGCTCACACATCCACGAACACGGTGTGTCTTGTCGATATTTTAAAAGAAAGAGATTGTTCACACGACATAAAAGAGATAGGAAATTTAGGACTTAGTATCCATTTGCCGAAATTGGCCTTTCCACGATAACAACAAGTTTTCGCACCCTCGTAACTAAATGTGCAATTCATACGTGTGTAAATATATGTGGGGTGATGAATAATTTACTCTGTTCTTATGATGTTATGGTGGAGTTTTGTTTGTTCTGTTACATTTAACATACATCATTGCCTATTTTAAGTCTTATCAGATGACGTGGACGGCGGAGTAACGCAAGTGTTGGTCTCGTTAGTTTGATATTAGAATTAGTTTACATTTATTATTGGAAATACAAAAACACGAAGAGTATAATAAAAAGAATAATAAAGAAAATTTAATTCTTTTCACTTATATCAATTTCGTATAGTAACGAAAAAACAACCATAATCTTTTCTAATATCTACTAAATTGAGCTTCCTTCAACATTCCCTGTCGGTATAACAAAAGGTTTGTATGTGTGTGTGTACAACACATACATATACGTGTAATCTACTTGCATACAATTATTCGCATGAACGAACAAAGAAAACTATTCAATGTTCCGTTTCTATTGCATTCTTTACTCGATATTGCTGTCCAAAAAAACTTAATTCTATCTTGAATCGAATAACTTAGAAGTAATTTAAATACGTATTTTTTATATACATAAAATATAATAAAATAATATTTTTGAATTTAATATATTAGAAAAATTATGATTACCTTCTCTAAGAAGACTACAAGACTTCTCCAATATAACTGAAATAAGAGCAAAATTTCTTTCATTTTAGGAGTGTTACAAATAAAAATAATATTACGTAGCTATCATAAAAACTGTATATTTATAGCGTTTGATCAATAACACGAAACGTAAAGGGATGTAGCTAAACGAGTTAAGAGCATATTACAGTTGCTCCAACGTTTTCATAACCCGCCATCTTATGCTATAACTGTCATCTTGTCAAATAGTATGGATGTCAGTAAATCCCTACATTTCCATAGGGTTATATTTTATCATGGCAGCGAAGAAATAAATAAAAATCTAAATATATAAACGCGAATGTTTTCCGAACCTCTGACTCAGAATTTACATATCAGTTGTTGACAGATAAATCCATGATACTTTTATACTCTGTTCGGATATGAATATCAATTTATGTTATATTAAAAATTGTTTTGTTAATTTCACACGTCACTGTCATGAGTTGAAGCGTTTTATTTAATGTATTATATATAAGTAGGTCATTAGGTAGGTCCCTGGGCGGGACGAACAACCGGAACAAACGCTAGGGTGATGATGATGATGATGATATAAGTAGGTCATTGTTATAATGGTTATTATATAAATGAATTTGGAAAAAAAAACATTTGATACAAGCTGAATATACTAACCATATTCTTAATTAAAAAAATAATAATACTGACATACTTTTTTTTTAAATGGCAGAATATTTTCCGACCATTTCCTATGGTAGAACGAAAAATATATATATATATATATGTATTTAGACTTTCTATCTCTTATATTTCGTTAGGTTTTTATATGAATATCTTAATGTTTAAAAAATAAAAGTGCTTTTACTTTACATACTTTTTTTTCTATAATGGCAGAATATTTTCCGACCATTTCCTATGGTAGCACGAGAAAAGAAAAAATATATATATTTAGACTTTCTAGCGCTAATATAATACATTTTCGTTAAATAGTTTTTTGTTTGAACATTATAATTGAGCTGTCCAGCCTCAGAACGTAAAGCGAGGGTTGATATGCCTTCGATTGTGTGATGGATGTCCGAGCCATTTGTAGCCATCAACACTACAGACGGTCATTTACATACTCGATGCTACAAGCCGTCATACAACTTATTGGTCTTCCGAAACAACAGACCTATTAGATACAATTCATATACACTTTACGTTAATGTAATTGGAATATAAAATTGGAATATAAAATCAATACCAAATACTTTCTTTTGTTTTCAATCTTAGATATCTTTGTTTAATATATTTTAAGCAAAATGATGCTTGAGTAAAACGCCAGCTTAAAACCTTAATTTTGAAACCGTATCAGTTATAAAAAAAATGTAAATAAAAGGTAAAATTTGACAGATTGTAATTATACATACAGATAAAAAATACCGACGTTTGGAGCTTTAATTCAATATTGTATTTTTATTGAAATGATATTTAACTATGAAGTTATTGAATTGAATTAATTCATAATATAATTATTCTGCAACTTATCTCTTTATATGTATGTCTTTGACAGTAAAACTAAAACACCTTTTAAAAACTGTTAATTGTGAATGAAACCAGTTCATAAAAAAACATAATAATTTGATTATAAAAAAATATTTTTTTTATTGTATGAATAATCATTATTTTTGGTACTCATTTTAAACTGTAATACTCTAAAGAGATCTATATAATGTGACATTTTTAAATACATGTCTGTTATCTATGTATATATAAAAATGAGTTGCTGTTCCTTGGTCTCATTAAAACTCGAAAACGACTGAACGGATTTATCTTATCATAGTCTTGAAATGTTCGTGGAGGTTCAGGGAAGGTTTAAAAGCTGAATTTTTTTTTATTAATTTCCGGGAAAAACCTAAAAACAGCGCTTTTTTATTTCCCATACAAACGTTTTTTTTTGACATTAGATTTGACAACTAACTAATATGTCAATCATTCTGTCGCACTTCAAAACACGGAGATTTATGGCTTACAGGTAAACTCCAAAAATATAAATAAACAAACGTAATAGATATTTCTTGATTATCGGGCGATACGAAGTTCGCCGGGTCTTCTAGTACCAAATAAAGGTTTATAATAAACCAATGACAATTCGTTCCGTTCAGAACAAACAAAGAGAACAAAGTCCACACAGCCATGTCTTGTATTTTGTGTCTTTAATTATTAAACAAATGACATTACATTAAACGTCAATAATAAAAAAAACCTCGCCTTTCTTTACCTATCATAACTTCTATCAACAAAATAAACAGATAACTAATTTATTTGTACTGAGAAACCTTTCATAGTTCACAAATCGCCCGCCATATCTCAATACTAAGGCACAGATAAAAATCTTGTAATAGAAATAAAGGTTTTAGTTTCTTCTCCAGTATACATTCAATGTACGTATAAATTGAATTGTATTTATATAATAATAGTATGAAAATTAAATACAAGATTTACGTGCATGTGAATTTTAACACATGTGTCCGGCAATTCAAATCTACACATAAGTTAATTGATAATAATTAATATATTTCAGTATACACAGGAACAAATTTTGAGACGAAACCTCTCATCATTCCATGTATTCACGGTGCGTGTGTCGGGTCCATCGTTGTAGTGAGAGGAGCTTCAACAGTGACTGGGACTTGTGACCCAGGTGTAGGTTTAAGACCCTATCTAACGTTAAACGCTCACCTCCACTGTCCAAGCTCCTCTCTCTAACCAAAAAAAAAAGACCTTCTAGGGCTGCCTTCGAAATATAATCCAAGAATGTATTATAATGATGCTATATGTATATTAATATGTCGTGAGTGGTTAGGCTTTGAGTGTATGTATAATGTATAGTGGAGTCCGCAGTCAGAACATCCGTGTCTATAGCATGATTGCGTTATGTGAAATTTATTTTCCTGATATACATGGCGCGAGGGCGGGTCTATGATATTTTCAACTGGGCGGAGTTAGTGAGAAAAATAACCGCCTTGTCGACGCCACGCCCACAGCATCTCGCTTTTCCACTTCGACCATTTTACTGTACCTTTATAACGTATATCTGGGGATTATCGAATTAAGAGGTTTGCATTACAGTCCACTGCTAGAAGCTAATTCATTTTACGTTCAAAAACCACGTTTTATCATATTAATGGTATACTGATGTTTTATTTATTTTATTATATATGAAATAAATATATTTTAATTATCATTAGATAGACTTTCATTTGTGAATGATTTAGTGTACAGCACTATACTACACTACTGATTGTTATAACTTCAACATTTGTTATTCTAAAGTGACGGTATATTGAAATTATTGTCAAATAAAATCGTTATAACCAAGAACTTTGTATATATTACTTTATTATAAAAATTATTTTCTGAAAAAACCCTAAAAACAGCGCTTTTCTATTTCCCATACAAACGTTTTTTTTTGACATTAGATTTGACAACTAACTAAAATGTCAATCATTCTGTCGCACTTCAGAACACGAAGGTTTATAGCTTAAGGGTAAACTCATTATTATTACTTTTTTATCGACTAAGGTAGTACGAATTCTGCCGGGTCAGCTAGTTAAATAATAAAAACATATATATTCATCCTTTTAAGTCAATCAATAAATCTTTATGACATTCGTGAAATACGAATAAGAATATATACCCATTTCATATTCTGCTCAAAAAAAAGTTTTTATTATGCCAAAGTTGGCAGAATGTGTTAAGACACTGCTTTGTTACAATAAAAAAAAAGCTTTGTTTACAATGAAAAGTCATTTGACTAATTGTTGTCACAATTTATCATCACGGTAACCGCGGTCAGTTTCATTGATGCAAAATTTTAATAAGTTTTAATTGAATTATACGTTACTTTGTGCATTGTAAATATGTCGGAGTCATCGGAATCGAATAATATTAACAACGTGAAACCGGAGTGGATCGAGCCGCTATTATACGACTCAGAATGTGAAGGTTCTGTAGTATTTGAATTATTTTACTAGAAATCTTTTTAAATTTCTCCTTATCATCATAATTATTAGTACTAGATTGTTACTATTACTACTTATTACTTGTTTAGATGTATAAATAATGATTTCTAACATATTAAATAAGATACGTAATATAAATATACCCACATAGTAATTATGAAGTTACTACATGTAATGTTTTAAGACGGAATCGTAATATTAGTTAGACATTGTGATTTAATTGTGTTTTAATATGTTAAATGTTTGATTGTTTGTTGTAACTTGTGCAAAAACTAAACATCATTTAATACAGTTTCCGTGAATGTAAAATTAAATATTATTGCTTACATTTTCATTAGTTTAAAACGTATGTTAAATTAGCTTGGACGTATTGAGATATAATGGCGTCAAGTTTTTTATATAGTTACCGATCGTGTTTATATTTTTAGTACATATTATAATATTTATTGATGTTTGTGTATTTTAAAGTTGTATGGTTTATGTGAGGCATACAAAAAAGTGTTGTGTCCAAAAATACTTTCAACTGCAGCCAAACACGTAGAAAGACTACCCTCATTTTATATAATATTTAACAAAACCAATACAAAATAATTTCAAGTAAATTATAATGATTTGTTTTCTGACTAAATCATGTATTAGTTTCCATTTCAACTTTGATGACTATCCATATTTTATAAAAAACTTATTAATATACATAGTTTTTCTTCCAATACATTTTACATGAATTGGTTCGTAAAGTTGTATTCAGTTATTTCGGTATATAGAAATATAAATACTAGACACGTCGGTACTTTGATAACGTACAAAAAAGGCTTGTTTCATACATATAACGAAATATAAAATAGTAAGTAGTAAAAATTAAAAATATTATTACGTAAATTGTCTTTACAAAATGTATAGCATTTATTTAATGAAATGTAAAACTCGCGAGTTTTATTCATTTAAAGGAAACTAATATTTTTTTGATATATATATCTATATATACATCGTTTTTTTAAGATAATAAACCCCGTAGTAGGTAATGTATGCGTAAAAATTTATTTTCATTTAAATGTATTTATTTAAGCCGTACATTATGTTCCCATAAACAATAGGAAGGCTGTCGAAATCGATTTATTTTCTATATAGATACAATAGCTTTAGATAATTGTGTAATAAAAGTGGCGTCATCCCACAATAGGCCCACCACATCTATAATTTTATTGACAAGTACATATGTTTATTAAATATTAATATAGAAACAATAATATGTAGGAAACAAATGACAACAATTATGTCTTATATTTTGACTCATAACTTTTGAATGTAGATTTTTTTTGTGACAATATTTATATATGTATCTATGTATTTATAACGCTGTATTTAAATGAATCAATATCAGTCAGAGTAACCTTATCTTTCTTTTCATAGTTTAACAAAAACTGTATCCATTTTTTTCATAGAATTCACACTTTACTATCTTTACTTTCATAATTCCTTTAAAATGCCGTTTTAAATTTAAAAATAATTATCATTTACAGCATCGGAGACGTACGGATTTAAGTTATTGAAGCAAGAAGGTCGTTGTATCGTGTGGAACATGGCCATTACACTCGGTTACCGCAAGAAAGGAATCCCCGGGCAGGCCTGCCGGCTGCTGGAAAGATACTTCTATTTCATTTTCAGATCCTACGCAGAAAGACCCAGTACGTTAACAATTCAATTTAATACACATACATACACTATAGTAACGCAAAGCATAGTTAGAGAATTTATTTAATACTAGTATTTGCCCGCGACTTCATCGCTTGCGTTCAAAGGAATACATAAATAGATATGCTAACAAACTGTTAGATATAGTAATATTTTGAAGCTTTTATCCAGTGAACTACACGGAAAACCGAAATAAATTATTGATTTTGTATTATTCTTATATGTAAGCTATATTATCGTGAATATTCATCAAAATCTATTAAGCGCTTGCATAATTGAAAGACCAACAAATATAGAGTACCATTTACTGTAAAAAGTATATATATAATGTTAATTGGATCTAATGAAGTTATTCCAATTTCGCATAGAAAATTTCTTTGGACAAAATACTATGGAGTGAGAATTAAATACTATATTATCTTCTTTTAATAAATTAAGTATTGATGTCATTTTAATCAAAGTATTGGTACAGTTTCAGTCTTCATTCTTTATCTTCGGCGTTTATTCTAGTAATTTCCAAAAAAATTTCTGAATCTTTGAAACACAAGTTGGTATTTAAACATTGCAATCACAAATTTAATATTCAGTATTATTAATTTTATATAAAAAATTAATAGTTATGTTATTACTAATTAAAATCAGTCATAAAAATAATGGTAAGGATTTTAGTGTATTATAATTAGTACGGCACAGATGGCGCCACTTGTAACAATAGCAATACTCAAACAAAGACACAAAAAAGATCTATTTTTTATATATTTGTAATACTTTTCAGGCTTTCTGTTTGATTTATTAATGTTCATTATTGAATTAAATCTTTAGTCAATACTTTAGTTTCTCATACAAGTTTACAATAAATTTAATTAAAATCTTTTTTGTACTATCCGATATTAACCAATTGGGTCACAAGCCACAAAGATTTTGTTTAACATAATACATGCATATATTTTTTACTATTCATTAATATTTTCCTTGAAAATTTTTTTACAGCTTTATTAAGAGATAAATTTATATTCGTACAAAAAAAAAAGCTTGGCTTTTATGTTTAAATAGTTAAATGTTGTATACAGACATAGTCTAAAACTGTGGCATTAATTTTTTTCCAGTTTTTTCAAGCTTTTTTCGTTCTGTTTGTTAAATCGCTATATATAGTCATTTCTCAAGCTCCCATCTTGTCTAAAGGTCCCAATAAAAAAGTATGCGTTATTAGATGCAATTAATGTATTCATCTTGCCACAATAAAGCGTAGTTTAAATTTTCTTATTTAAAGTAATCTTCGTATTTTCCTAACACTGTATAAGATTGATAAATGTTTTACAAGAATAATAAGGTGTCCAAACAGTTTTAAACTTTAACTTATATTCCTATGAATGTACCTCGTTTAATCAATATATTTCATTATTATTCAAATACTTTCAGCTATTATTGAAGTTATTCATTTTTAATAAGTTCATATATGACTATTTGAATCATTTATTTCAATCATTCATATCTGATGCTAATTGTTTTCATATGTTATCATGGCTTTTTTCCTTGTTGTTATTCTCAATAGTATTTTATCATCACTAAAATTTCATTACTAAAGATTTTAAATTTCATACTTTCACATTGTCTCTTCAAATAATACATCTTCCATCTGGTATAAACTGATCTTAATTTTTTTAACGTAAAAAAAATGTCCATACAATATATTTTAAATCACTGATATTTTGTTGAGGTACTATTCCAGCACTGGAATAGGACTATGTCTGTTAAAAATCCTTTGCTTTTACCTGTATTACAGCAGGGGCACTTCGAAACGCTATCCTTGAGAACATGAAGAACCGTATAATGCTCTTAATAGCGTGTAGCGTTCAGCTAGCTGTTAAGATGAGCTCCGCGGAGGCGAGGATAACTCCTAAAGTAATACGACTGGCTCTGCTCTGTAAAGGGATCACGTACACTGTCAAAGAAATCATACAGGCTGAAGCGGAGATTTTTTCCGTGATTGGTAAAGAAATATATATTATTGGGCACGTTTTGAAGCTAGACTTGGTGTAAATGGGATAGAATATATGTGTTTTGTGTGAGTGTCAAACAAACTCGCTGTTCTTATAAGACGCAGTTATGTGTGAGAGTGGTTGACTAATTATAGGATTAACGATACAAATAATGGTTCTTGTAGTATTTCATGAGATAAATATTAATGCACAAATATCAGTAGAATGGATGGCTTGATTGTTATAAACAATATTTGTATGGTAGTTATAATATCGTCACTAAACCTGATTTTTGCAAGGTTAAGTTGCTTCTATACTTGCAAAAAAGTGCTAGTATAATGTATCCTATATATTAGTATATCTTGATTATATTTCTGTATCGTCATCGGCCTATCAGAGCCCACAGCTGAGCAAAGGCCTCTTCTCACTAGAAGGGTTTTTAATGTAAGGCATATATTATAAGGTTACCGGGTCCCACTGCGGACCAGCGTGGAAGTAGCAGAACAGCTGGCTGCCGAAGTTGGAATGTCCGAGGGTATGGTTAAAGCTATATCCATCATTATGGACATGGCTGAGTACAAACGGAACATTGTTGAGAAGAAGATGCGCTGGGCCGCTACTGGAACTACGTCTACGCCAGGTGAATATGACGAAATATTTGATATATTTAACACGTACGTAATTAATAAGGTGGAAAATGAATTTTTGGAAATAAGCATCAGTAATTTTCATGTGCTTCCTTCTATTTCATTATACTAAATATCTTTGACTTTTAGGAACTGTGTACTTACATTGGTGTGAATGAAACTTTGTTTTATATATTTTAAAGCCCATCAATTTTAGGGTATAACATAAAAATAGTTATAAACATATGGGTTCTTCTATGAAATTACTAAAATCAAGCTACAGAATCTTCTAGAAAATTCTCTGATGAGTAGAGTGAACAGGTTTCGTGCGTACTTTGCACTTGTGTGCTGGCGCTGTGGCAGCCGCTGCCACGTTCTATCCACGGGCCATGGAGAGCCTGGATGCTGGCACATGTTTGGCACAGCTCGCCAACTTAGTGGACTCACCACAAGCCTATATAACTAGCATCGCTCACGTCATCATCGCACAGATACTCAGCGAAGCCTGAATATATATAAAAATAACTATTTATTATCACTGATTTTTTATATGTGTTATTATTATAATAGTTTTGCGTTGTACAGAAAATTGTTTTTAGAATTACGTTAGTATTTGGTTTGGTCTGATTTTTCACGTTGGTAACTGTTTATTTTTATAAATTAAAAGAATATATAGAACTTCTTACAGTTGATTAAAGTGATTTCTGATGAATGAAACAAAACTAAAGGTTACTTTTTTTTAAATTTAAATTTATGTTTATCTTTGACGAACAAACTCAAAAATTTACGCTGTGTTAATTAATATAAGGATCTCAAAATATTTCTTTTTACGTTTTGACGTATAAGAAAAGTATAGTCTCTGTTCTGGTCATCGTATAAGTAATTATAATCTACCAAAAAGATATTAAAAGATAACAAAGATACCAAAAGGTATCAATGATGCTTCTGACGTATTGTTAAGTTGTAACTTAAAATTACTATTAAGTAATTATATGTATTTAAAAAGTTTATCTTTCCTATTTATAAGGTGTTAGTTTTCACTTTATTTAATTAAAAATTAAAACTATTATGTGTTTCATTTCATTCACGATCATTAGAGTAACGAAATATATATATTCTTCTTCTTCTACCTGGCAATTTCCCAGCTTTAGCCAGGATCTGCCTTACATGTTGTGAATAGTTTTGACTAATTGTTTTTATGACCGGCCACCTGCCTGACATCACCCTCTTTGGGAATGCATTAATTAGTGATGTCTAAATACTCTCAGAAAGTACATATGAGTCGGAAAAATCACATTGGTACTTGCCCGGACAAATATAATTTTTATTTACTCTTTTACTTTCATTGGATATCTTCTATATATATAAAAATGGATTGCTGTTCCTTAGTCTCGCTAAAACTCGACAACAGCTGAACGGATTTATCTTATCTTAGTCTTAAAATGTTCGTGGATGTTCAGAGAAGGTATAAAAGGTGAAAAAATTTTATTCATTACTGGGAAAATCATAAAAACAGCCCTTTTCTATTTCCCATACAAACGTTTTTTTAACATTAGATTTGACAACTAACTAATATGTCAATCGTTCTGTCGCACTTCAAAACACGGAGATTTATGGCTTACAGGTAAACTCCAAAAGTATAAATAAAAAAAAGTAAGGTTATTTCTTGATTATAGGGCGATACGAAGTTTGCCAGGTCTACTAGTATATATATAAAAATGGATTGCTGTTCCTTAGTCTCGCTAAAACTCTAGAACAACTGAACGGATTTATCTTATCTTAGTCTTGAAATGTTCGTAGAGGTTCAGGGAAGGTATAAAAGCTGAAAAAAATTGATTCATTACTGGGAAAACCATAAAAACAGCCCTTTTCTATTTCCCATACAAACTTTTTTTTTACATTAGATTTGACAACTAATTAATATGTCAATCATTCTGTCGCAATTCAAAACACGGAGTTTTATGGCTTACAGGTAAACTCCAAAAATATAAATAAAAAAACGTAACAGATATTTCTTGATTATAGGGCGATACGAAGTTCGCCAGGTCTTCTAGTATTTATATAAAATTTAATATGTTTTCATACTAATATTTATATATTATCGTGTATGTACAGGCTTATCAAATATTTTAGGGCGTTATATATATTAAAGTGATTTAGTTTCCCATTGAGAGGATAGCTTTGACTAACGATGTGAAAAATATGGATGCAACCTCACAGCAACCCCATAGTGGCTCGGGTTTTAATAACAGATTCCCTTCCCTTTGGAAACACTTCGCTTGATATGAGATAACGATACTCAGAATCATAGTTACTAGTGAAAATATTAACTAACCAGTTAAAATTGTATGCTATTTATAAGTATTGAATTTATTTCAATACAAAAAATAATAATAGAAACATTAGTTATATGATAAACGGAAAGAAATTAATTTTTCATATGTTAAAAAAAGTTTCAGTTTTTTGCAATTTAGTGTATAGATCGCTAGAAGTATAAAAGTCGTAAAATTTCCAATGATACAAATCTTAAATAATCAACTCAAATTAAAAACTAGATATCAGAATAAAATTATAACATCATTATTAAAAAACTATTCTATAAATAGGAGCAATACAATCGAAAACTAAATACGCAAGCGTAATGTATCAAACGTTACAATAACGAGGAATGGAATTTAATTAAATCTGAGTCCATAACATGATGTAACAAGTTACAAAAATTATGAATTGAGGGGGGAGGGGGGGGGGTGCGCGGGCGCTGTGGCTGACAACAATACACTACAAGCGTCCCCAATAAAAACTTGACAAATGGCGTTTCATAATCACGTCGCATTCCAGGCTCCGTCAACCTTATACTTTATTGTCCTTCCCTCGGAAAATATGCCATACAGAAATACGTTGACGTACAGACAAATTTCATCTAACATACAATATGGTTGTAAATGTAATACACGTTGGATTGTATCGCTGTAATATAATTATCTACTTAGCACTGATTGGCTTTCAATTAACGCCGCCACAATGTTAACTATGCGGTTTGATTATAACTGATACGGATACGATTATATTAGGATTTACATCGGAAATTCATTCATATATTTAAATTAAAAAACTGTATCAAACAGCGGTGGTGTCATTAATTTTTTGACATTTACGTCGCGTCATTCAAAAAAAATCGGATATCTTTACCGGAATAAATCAAAATCTACATGTAATATAAATATATCATTACGTTGAATTAAAGTGATGTTGAATCGGGCTAGGGATATATTTAGCTATAAATAACCTATAAGGTTACGGTTTATTCTCACATAAAACTTAGGAGAGGTCGTAAAGTAAGTCGGGGGCTTATTATAGTTACCGTGGACCGCCGAGGAATTCCCCGTAATAAGGGTCGGTATTAGCGTCACCATAATATTGTGCCCTGTCACCACTCACTGAGCCTCCGACGGTATTATTATTAAAAATAATTTCTCATTTTTATTGCACTTTCATATTACAGCGGTCGCTATAAACGATTGGTCTATTATGACGTAAAGAATTTATTACTCAAATTATTATATACGTTTGACAAATGTCAAATCGGATACTCAGATGAATGCATTTGAAAAGCTACAAACGTGTAGTGTACTTGACAAGGAGCGTAACAGTTCGAGATGTTTATACATCACTCTTAATAAATATTATGGTATGTATACTAGTTATTTTTTTATAATTCTTAAAAGCACATAAAAATATTTTTCGGACGGAAAATTTTAATCCCTATGAAACATTTCGCTTCCGCCTTTGAATACATCTGAACCTGGGAGTGGTTTTTCCAGACCACCCTGCAGATATAAAAAAAAAGAAACAGTAATTAATACATACATATAATTTTTATAACAACTATTAGATTTTTTAATGTTCGAAATTCAAATGTGGACGGAGTGCGTCCGAAAAAAATGTGTTGGCCGAATCGATATTCGAACGAGATGGATATATTCCACAAGGGCAGAGTTTCGTAGAGAAGCAATTAGTTTTGTTCGCGTATGTTTTTTTTTTTCGGCAGGGCGTGTCGGCAACGATCCCGCCCAGTACAGCCCGGCGCCCGTCAGTCCTAGAGGAACCTCCGTGGTGATAGCACGTGTCGCCAGTGAGACAGTTACGTACTACGTGAACGACCGCTGGTTTTGGGTAAGTTTTGTTTCAGTGTTTTTAAATTTAGGATAAAGGATTTTCTTATTATTTATGGTGAAAAAAAGTGTTTTATATCTTATTTTGTATAGTTGAAATATTCTTAAAATCATATATTTTTCTAATCGTCCGTGATTTCGTAAGAAGTTTCTAATTTAGTAACATTTTATTAAATATCAAACATTAGATGGATACTTTTGTTCTTTGTGAATAATTTTCTGTAATTTTAAATATGGACTATAAAATACATATATTTATATATGGCAGTGTTAAATTTCATTAAATAATGCTGGTTGATTTAAGAAAAATTAAAAAAAAATTAAGTGACGTCATTCTTGGGCATTGACATTTTCGTGGTTTTTTCAGACTAACTGCATCATGAGAAAAATAACGGAGGTTACTCGAACCTAAATGGTAACTCATTAAATGTCTATGCATTGCGAAATTAATATATTAATAATATTACGAATTACTCGTTTCGAATTAGAAATTTTATTTTAATATATGAGACATTTTTTTATATTATGAACTTAATTTCGACTAAATACGTGATGTAGTTTAAATACAAAGTTAGAAATAAACAGGCGGAAAAATTCGTGTTTATTATAATACTTTATTTATATGTTTTTAATAATAATAAAATTATCTTGAAATTAATTTATATCGTTAAAATATTACAAAAAGACAACAAACTACACTTTAAAGTCATAAGCCAAATCATATATTTTAAGTACTAAAAAAACCTTACAAATTTTGATTATTAAATGATAAGAAATAAATAGTTATCATTTAAAATTACGGAACATAACATACTTTAGGAAAGTAATATGAAAAGGAAAAAATTCTATAAAAAAAATACTCAACACAATTATAATCTTATTTAACACAAAAAAAGTTTCGTTTTAATATCAATTTAATAAAATAATCACACTGTGAGAAAACTGGCATATAAGAAAAAGATCTTTATGCAAAAAAAAACGTTCTATCTCTTTTTTTTTATTTCAAAATTCGTTCGATCTTTTTTTTAAATTTCAAAATTCATTCTATCTTTTTATTAAATTTCAAAATTCGTTCGATCTATTTTTTAAATTTCAAAATTCGTTCGATCTTTTTTTTAAAATTTCAAATTTCGTTCGATCTTTAAACATATTTAATTGCTCACCCGCCCGGTCCGCGGGACTCCAATGATTCTTATCTAGAAGCTTATTGAAAAAGGGGCGCATTCCTATCACGAATAAATCAGTCAGGGCTGTATTTCTTCCGATCGCCACACGCTCATTTTTATTGCCTACTTATTGCCAATTACATTATTCACCTAAAGATTTATTTGAATTCATTTGAAATTTAATGAATTTAATATGAAAACTAGGTCCACTTTAAATAGACTCGAGGAAATACAATGACTATCCGACCAAATGCATCATATCATAATGTTTGGTTTAGAAGTGTTTATCGCTCGCCATACTATTCTTTCCTAATTGTTTAGTTTACAATGTACCAATGATAGCTGTACTTTACACACACCAACTGTTCGTAGTTTAAAATTACAATAGAATTAAACTTAAAGAACATTGTTACTTTTGATAGTCTTTTCTATGCGTAATTATTTATTCCATAATGTTTGTATATACAGGGTGACTGGTGAATTACTATCGATACTTGAGGACGTGATATTTGACGATCATATATGACAAAATAAAAATTAATATAACATAAATATTAATAAACTTCTAAGTAAAGTTAACCAAAACTTATGTAATTAACTACAGATTAGGTATACACACACACACACACATACACACACACGCGTCACACTTGGAACGTGTCCACACTTTATTTATTTATACGGAAATTTGGTCAAAAATTAAGTATCTATTTTTTTTACATAATTCGAATGACAATCATGTACCGAGTATTCTCCTTAAATATTGATAGTAATTCACCAGTCACCCTATATATTTGTATATGTAATTACCATATGTATAAGAGCAGCAGTTGAACAATATAGTTTCAATTGCGGGTATCACTTAAAATCTATTTGCCTGTCTTTCTTCATGTCCTAGAATTACATAAATGGTGCACGCATCAAGTGTACCAGTTTCAATCAGATCAGGGGTATGTCTAAGTGGTCATTTGCATAACACCTGAAATTTCAACTAGGACTCAAACGGAACAACATCTTTGCTGTACTATACAACTAGTATACAATTTTCTTATTAACAGCCTTAAAATAAATATATATTAGGCAAAAAATAGATTTATCTTTAATATTAGTGATATTTATGTAAGTTTGAAATTTTTTAAACGATTTCTTATTAATTAAAACGAAGTAATTCAGATTTGTGAATCATCGATACGTAATCTTTTGAGGATGATCAAAATAATGAAATTAGATTCATAGAAAAAATAATAATGCATACCTACATATACCTTGATAATATTTTTTTGTAGATTAATAAAATACTTCTAATTAAATAAAAATTATGTATTTTTTTCTTTGTACAGATGATTGTCATATATACATACATACATACATATATATGTATATGTTAATATTATCTTAGTTATGTTTATTACGTCCTATTTATATTAAAGATCCCGATGTCCGTTCATATTGACAATGCAATTTCGCGTCAAGTACCTCCTGTTAATTAAGATGAAGAGGCTGTAAGAGGGAAGATGAATTCTAAAATATAATTGAATTGTTTCAAATTGTACTAATTATTAATATAATAATTTACTTAAAGACAACACCAGATTTAAATTGACTGTGGTAGATATGTAGTTTTTATAATGCCATGGATCTAAATATATTGGTATTCTCATATTTTTATGAAGAGATGAAATTTGAGTGTAGCTGATGGGTATATTTTTTTGTTGAATATATTTCCTTATAACTTCAGATATAGTTTTATTTGTATTGAGAAGTAACGTAATTAGCGGACGCGTTGCGCTGTAAACATTTATTTGACGGGTAATTTATTAATTTACCCTATAGTAGGGTAACCAATGCTTTCTAAGAGGGTAAAGTTCGTGTTACTACATATTTTACAGTTTCAATTTTAATTTTCTTAAATGTCAACATTATCCGTAATGATTTTGGCTATGGTAATTGCTGTAATCACCCACACGGTGAATCCATGGAATGATGAGAGGTTTCGTCAGTTATTAGAGCTGATCTTCATCTACCTGGCAATGTCTCAGCTTTAACCAGGGTCTGCCTTACATGTTGTAAATAGTTTTGGCTTATTGTTTTTACGACCGGCCGCCTGCCTGATATCAACCCTCTTTGGGAATACATAAACGCTCTTAGAAAATACATATGACTCGTAAAAATCACATTGGTACTTGCCAGGATCGAACCCGCGCCCTCATGCATGAGCGGCGGGCCTTTTAACCACTAGGCCACCATTGACTACTTCTTATTAGATCTGATATAAATCTTTAAATCCTATAAAAGGTGATAGGACATAGCTCAATGAAAGACCAATATATTTAGACCCATGTCGTTATACAAGCTACATACTCGCCACAGTCAATCTATGTCTGGTGTTGTCTTATACAAACGACGCAGCCAGCTTCTGTCCTGTTTGTTAAAGCTAAGGACAAACACTAGCTGAGTCAAAGGCGATCACTGTTTACGTCCTACTGATTACAGACGAAGCTATTTCAACTAATACGGCTACGTTCTAATTGGAGGTGAAACTGCAAACCTATATCCCTACCTTTCTCTTGATTGGACATATATAATAATTTAAATGGAATCATTAAATTGACCCAAAAAACTTAGAATATAAAAGAACTTATTAAAACGTAAAGAGATCGATTGTGACATCGAAAATGTAATCCAATTCTTTACTTATTTTGACTGAAAACACTTTTCAAGCAAAACGAAATTCATTTATAATAAAATTATTAGCTTCTCCATAACCAATATTAAAACTTTATACTAAATACAAAATATCAATGTACTATCAATACGTATTTTTTTGGTTACACACTCACACACACACACACACACACACAAGCATAACAATAGCTACGTATCATAATTATTCAAATAATTTGTGACCCTTGCTTCTAAGAAAACCTTTTCGGTCTTTGTTCTATGAGCGAACGCTTTCAACAAACACCCAATGAGATTGCTGTCAAAATAAACATTTATAACTATTCCCGTTTTATTCTTCGGTGGCTGTAAATCTCTTTTGTTTGTTTCTATAACGTCTTTTTGGGTGATGGCTTTCAGTTAAATGTTTTACATTGTTTTTCCGTTCTGAAATTACAAAAGGAATTAGAAAAGTGTGGTCCTTGTGTAGTAGGAATTAATGATAGATTAATTTAACATCTTGATGGAATTTAATTAATGAAATTACATATATTTATATCAAATTAAAAACTAATATGTTTAAGATCAATAAAATGTTGTAATGTATAATAATAATCTTTATACTTAGCGTAACTACGGTCACACATAATAGTGTTTTTATTTTTTAATATTGCATATAAATCGTTAATTTACTTTTATATACTTATACTTTTAACAAGTGAATAGAATTTTATTGGATATTTTCCATATTTCCCGTGATAATTCTATTGCTAGCCACATTTTCATTTTAGATATAAGTGCAAGGCAAAGAAGTAATTTTGTGATATTGTACGGATGTTATGATAAAAAAATAATTAAATTTAAAGGAAAAGTTTAAAGGAAATTAGAGGTACTTTTAAGGAATACATCCTGTGTACTTTTAGTGTTTTTCTGTTATCCTGCTCATGCCTTAATAATATTTATTTCATATACTTTCTCATATCAACTTAAATCAAAATAACCGCTACAATTTTACGAAATTATAAATAAAAATATTTAAATCCAAAAGCATATAGAATTACAAAAATATAAATTATTATAATAAAACATTATTTTATTTGCATTATAATTAAGAAAACAATGCTATCATTATCAAAAATAAACTGAAACTAATGTCATCCATTCAATATAATACTACTGGATGTAACAAATGTGATTATTGTATTAAAACACTAATTATGTATTATAATACGATTTTTAATCTTTCATTATATAACGGCTATTGTTTAGCATAAACCAAGTAAAGAAGTCAAGATAAATTAAGCCACTTTGAGTATTATTTGTTCTGTTTCCATTAATAATTCGGCTAAAATATGTTTTATAGCCAATACAATATGTACTAATATACTATAGGAAATATAGAAAGAATTGCAAATAATAAGAATTGTGTTTGTAAAAAGTCGAAACTTTTAAAAGGTATAACTTATTTATGTTATAAATTATTGAAGAAATAAAATATTATTACAAATCTAGTAACATTAAAAATTAAAGGACAAGCGACTGAAACATATAATCTGAAAATAATGGTAATGAATGAAATAATGTTGCTTACAGATTTCGACTTTTCCAGACAAATAAACAGTTGTATCATGTCATTAAAGTTTTTGTCATTAAAGCAGTTTATTTTAAATTCGTATAAAAAATATATAAAAATAAATATACACGAGTAAGATTCAAACTTGCAAATTCTGAAATCACGCGTTTGAGTTCCTTAACAAACTGAGCTATCTTGCCAATACAATCTAAATACAAATAGGCAGAAAAAAATAGCAAAAATAAATTTAGTTACTAGTAAGGTTGGCTACCGAAATAATTACATTGTCTTTTAATCAGCATCATGGCCATCAAGTATTATACAAGTGTGGCGACCACGAAATGGTGTTCACTAAGCCAATTTCATAGAACTTCAACAACAAACTGTACTTCAATGAAATTTAATTTGTTTAAATAAAGTTTGCATTAATGTGTTTAGGTGATAAGGCTGTGCGCTTTTATTTTTCATTTGAACCAAGTTAACTTGTAGAAGGCGGTCACTATGGAGGGATTCCTTCATCATATGGCGCCACAATTCTTGCACCCAGCGCTACAAAGCTTTGGTTGCGGCGCCTTCCGACCTATAGGCGGTGCTTTCCATCCGCTGTATCCCGGCAAAGCTTTCGCTAGGCATCTAGGCGAGCAGTATGCACTTGGACAGAGTGTCGGTCAAGCGTTGAGGGTAAATATGTGTTATTAATTAAGGTTATTCCATAGAACTGTCTGTGTTTCCTCAAGCGATTATATCTATTCATTAATTTGCCTTTATAAAACCTTCTAATTACTTAGGGTGTAAGGGATGACAATAGTACTCCGCCGTTGTATCGGCACGGGTATGCGATCCGTGATGACACGAGCTCTCCTGGCTCAGCTGCCTCAGCTTCACCGCGGCCCTGCAAGGATGAAGACGTCCCAGCAACCGCCACTTGCTCCGACCCTCATGAAATGTTCTCACGTTAGTTAAAATTATGAAAGAAAGATATCAATTTAATCTCTGCTACATATGTCTTAAATTAATATTTTCTTATATAAAACAGCTGATGGTGAACGTAAATCATCTTGTGGTGTGTGTGGAGCTCGACTGGGCCCGGGAGTGGCTCAGGCTCACTTTCTACAAGAGCTTCAGCATCTTTACAGCCTGACGGCCATACCGAGAGAGGCGACTGCTCCATCCCATTCGCTTCATCATCAAGACGAAGACGCGCGCTGGGAGGTATACAACACAGAAATATGTTATACGAAAGAATAAAATAACCAGAATAACTTGAGATTTAAACGAATTGCCTACAGACTTACCAGCGCATACGAGCGAACAGACAGCGTCGCTTGAAGCTGCGTACCCGTAAGCGTCATCATACAGTGGAAAGCATGCTGGGTTACGACCTAGAAGAAGAACGTCGAGAGGAAAGACCAAGAGAACGAACGTACGACGCTGAAGACGAACCGGTGGATGTAGAAGGAGATTCTCTCGGATGGCCAGAAGGTGCCATCAATGTTGAAGGTAAAACCTCTTGGAAAATCCTTAGTACATTTCAATACAGGGTGACTGGTGACATACTATCAATATATATTTAAGGAGAATACTCGGTACATGATTCTCATTCGAATTATGTAAAAAAAAATAGGCACTTAATTTTTGACAAAATTTCCGTATAAATAAATAAAGTGTTGACACGTTCCAAGTGTTCCAAGTGTGGACGCGTGCGGCGGCGTGCTGATACAACACCACGCCGCCGCGCGTGTATGTGTGTGTGTGAGTTTACCTAATCTGTAGGGTGTTCACGCGATGCGTAATTAATTACATAACTTTTGGTTAACTTTACTTAGAAGTTTATCAATATTTATGTTATATTAATTTTTATTTTGTCATATATGATCGTCAAATATCACGTCCTCAAGTATCGATAGTAATTCACCAGTCACCCTGTATAGCACGTTCATAATATATCATTCACAGATAAAGATCACCGCAGCGACGCTGAAAAGATACACCTGAGTTACGCTGAGGACCTCGAAATATCAAGCACCAACGACAACATGCAGTCGCCTGAACGCGTGAGGTATTTTATATAAATATGACACGGTCCAAATATATTATAATATTAATAGCCTTATATACTTTACAAACTCCTTTTTAATTCTCCAAACATTTCCATGGGAATAAGTAATAATAATCGCGATTAAATAATGCTCATATATTTCTATAATTTTCAATTAAACCTCGTTAACTACCTTAGACTTTAAAGATCTTCTAATATTTTCCAAAAAAATCATATAGTATTACGTAATTGGAAGGAAAACATCGTGTGGAAACCTGGACTTATAGTTTCACAATTATAAGTTTGAAATCATCCCGTCTTGAGCAAGCGTGGTGATTAATGCTCAAACCTTCTCCATGTGAGAAAGAGGCCTTTGCTCAGCAGTGGGCGTTGATAGGCTGATGACGACTACGTAATTTAGACGTTGTTTTGTATCGGACAGAATTGAGACTCCCAAGCCGTTGTCGCTGGAGTGTGCGAAGCCCGAGCCTGAACGCCCAGCCGAGGTGAGCACCTCCGAGTGGGCCGCAGCCCCCGACACATGGCCCCCCATAGACGCTTACACACACCCGCGACACAAGATCGACGGAGAGATGCCCTCGTCTACCGACACACGCAACTGAACTAAACATTCTGGACCATAGACATTGTTTTTTTTTATTAATTTCAAAACCAGCAGAGAACAAAGCACATACAGCCATGACTTTTGTATTTTATGTCTTCTTAATTTTGACCATAGACACTGAAAATTCTGATCATAAAAGTGTTTTGAATATTATTTAAATTCGTCGTTTATCTATGGTTGAGAATGTTTTTATATTTATCGATATTTAATCGTTTTAATGTTCGTTGAATAATTTTTGTTTATTATATATTATTTACTAATATTAAATTTGATTGTAATGTATTAATTATTATTAATTTATATTGTTTGTTAGCATAACTTTCGAATTAGGCATCTTCGTGTTCGCATCGATGTTTTTATGGCTTGTATTAAATTAGAAAAAGTATTCAAAAACAGGCAAACCAAGTACTAATTACTAGTATAAAGTACAACTATTTTTAACACATTCATTCTATAAAAACTGTCGACTATCATTTGTCTTCTAAAGATATAGTACCTAGCTTTTATTTTATATTGTATAGTAAATAGTTGCAAAAATAAATTACTGGTTCAATTTCGTAACAATTTCAACGGACAAACATGATTTAATGTAAAAAAAAATGTTATAATATCTTATTAATTCGATTTAAAGCAAAATTTAGGTGTTAGCTTTTAATTGTATTTCTTAGTGTAAGTCTAATAACCAAATTATCGTCTGTTCGTTGTCATTATGCCAAATATATATATAATGTTATGCTTTATAGATTATCATTTGTAGAAGCAAGCGTTACTTTCACGACTGTACATATTAGTGACAATTTTGACATGTTTTAATACTATTATTGATATTATTTACGCATTCATTGTTAAATTTTATTTATGTAAAAAAAATTAGCTCGTAATTAAAGCGTTTTTGATGTTAATTTAATGATAATTCGTGTCAAATGGTTCTTGTATTTAAAACGATACCCAGATGCAATGAGTTGAGTTTTGCATCACTATAGTGACAGTTTTCATCGTCAGACTTACAATTTAAGAGGTTTTACCTTAAAAACGATTTAAGATATAATGTTAAAGTACCATTGTTAAGTATGACGATGCAAACTAGTTTTGAGGATGTTGAAATCGACTTTCCCTTAAATCTAGACAGTAAATGAATATGCTAGGTATATCAAATATTATTGTAAGTCCATAACTGTATCTGTATATTAAATATTATTTAAATCTTATAAATAAAACGTCAGATTATTTAAAATTCTTATAATATATTTCTCAAATCTTTTACACAATATCGCAATAAAATCCATACATAAAATTCTCAATCAATAATTTCAATTTTGACGTGACATTTGTTTTTTTTTTTTAAATATAATAAGGTTTAGATTGGTTTTCTACAGATAAAAGAGTAGACTACATTTCCTTACTAAACTAAATCTAGTCTAGTTTTCGTCTTTTGTTACAAGGAACATGTTTCCTTTGATAATTACATTTCATGTCACAAATTGATAGTATTGAGATGTCAATGGCCACTATTTTCATTATTCACACAAAAAATTTACACAAAATTTATAACACAACAAACTGGAAATAACAACATTGAGCTTAGAACGATAATTTCATGATACACGAAAAAAATAATGAGAGCATAGTGAGAAGAAATTCGAAGTCCTTTCAAGTCGTCCAACATATAAAAAAAAGCAAATTTCCAGCGCTCTGAGAGCGAATGTTACATCAAATATAAGACAACCAATAATTTATCAATCGATCAATATTAAACATTTTATTCGTCATCATGGATTTTGAAAGACGAGTGTCTATACGCCTCCTCCGCTGTGGACGCAGTAGCACGGAGAGGTCTCTCGTCACCTGGCTTGAAATCCTGCATAACCTGCAATGAAATCATTGTACTGACGATATATAAACACTAGCTTTCCGCCCGCAGCTTCGTCCGCGTGGAGTTCGGTTATATCGCGTTTTCAAGAGAACCTTTCAAAAGTCTGGGATAAAAACTATCCTATGTTCTTTCTCAAGGTCAACTCTATGTCTGTACCAAATTTCATTAAAATCAGTTCAGTGGTTTAGGCGTGAATAATACTCTCAAATTTTGGATTGTTAATCACAAACCAGTTATAACATAGTCGGATCTCCAATAAAATATAAGTGAAATAAAACCTTTTTTGTGGCAGACAAAAATAGATTGGCCTGTACGTATATATGAATAACAAAGTCTAAAAGAAAACTGCGTGTAATTTAACCTTTCGTATATAGTCCTCGCGCGCCGCCAGTTCCTTCGCCAATTCGCTGCGCCGTCTCTCTGTCTCAATGGTGTAATTCTGGTTGAGGCTCTTCTCTGTCTTTTCGTATTCGCGATACAAGTCCGCGTATTCCGCCAGACTCCGCTTGGCCTCCCAGTTGCTGATCCGTCCTTTAGACGTGCAAGCGTCGAAATCCTCGTGGTTCGTGGCGAGGCTGAATAAAAAGTTACAATAACTTGCACTTATTCGAAATTTCGTAAGAGATCAGATTAGATGACTATATACACAAATCCTTATAGAATTACGATTTCAATGTCTCGTTTCGATATCTTTAGTGAACTGATTTTTGTAATATATAATAAACTTTATAATTTTTAATTTAGTTGTAAATTTGTATATTATTTTCAAACATAAAATCACTAGGTTTCAAATTACCGATCAGGTCATATAACATATGCAGTCACTACTTTAGATATCATAATGTTAAATAAAAAAAAGCATTTGTTTCAAACACGGTAAACTCCGTGACTCTTTATTAGTCTTACTTATATTGCATTGATATTTTAAAATAAACTTGAATCATATATTTGCAATTATTGACAGGAGCCGTAACAGATCGATTTGCATTTGCAGTTATAAACGGACGTATGTATTTAATATTCATATCTGCAATTAAAAGCGTATATTTATATATATACCTCAAATACACAACCAATTTAATGAGACACTTGTCTTTAAATTTTACTTCTACAGACTGACAGTTACTGTCCAAAATTATTTTAGATATATTTGCCAAAAAGCAATAATGACAATATTCTCATATTATTAAAGCACTAATAAAACTATCGAAAATTACATTATAATCAAAACAAACTGTCAAAATGGACACAAAAGTCGCTTAAAACGGTCAAATCAAATACCCTTTACACTCATATCACAGCTTAGTGTAAGTGCTCACTTATACATCGATGTGTAGAAGTAGTGCGGTCGGCTGTTTGCTCTCAGGAACCGGGACACTATGCCGTCAGCCTCACGATAGAACGCCAACAATCGATTGTACGAGATATGCTTGTATGACGGCAATCTTAACAATCTTCCACCCAACTTGATAACGTTTATCTCACTGTTACGAAGAGTCGCCTGCACAGACATATTAACCACTTACTATAGATATATCCAATAACTGTTTATATCAAATACAGCCAAGTAAACCCTGGATACTATATAAAACTCGCCAAGAATAAAACAGAACGAATCAATCAAAGGTACTATTAATTTATTCTGTAGTACAAAATCACTAGGTATAATATTTGCAGAATAATTTATTGATTGAAATTTTATCATTTGACTGCCAATCAATTTTATATATAGGGGTCAAGTTATTTATAGATTTATTAGCACCGCTACTACCTGGAAATATCGATTCAAGATATAAAGCTGTTACTTTAATATACTATTACCGAATACAAGCTATAAAGAATAAACAAAAGTTTAATAAGTATAGAACAAAGAAAAATATACATACCATTGTAGCACTCTTAGAACCGTAAGAAGGATCGTGCCGTAAACCTGTATCAAGCAAATATTGAGGTCATATGCAATCATAAGTATGAAACAAAGCTCACAAAACATACCCATATGGTGAGCTATGGTGAGAGGTATCCCAGACAATGGTTGCTGTACTTTAAGACCGTTGAGGACCTAAACGAGTAAGAAATCCATTCAAAATACATTTATATATAACAATAGCTAAACTGGAATATAATTGCCATTCGAAAATATACATATCAGTCATTGAAACTGTACTTAAATATAAGAGAAAGAAGAAATAATTTTCACGTCCCAACCTGTTGCAGATTAACGCCCACGTTGTGTGACGGAGCAGTTGTCTTGCTGACCACGAAGGGTATGTTCGTTTTGTTCGAATTGCTGTAGTAACATCTCATGCCAGCCTCCTTCATCTTCGAAGACACCGTCGGCAACTCGTACCTACGGCTCTGGTACTTCGAATGACGAAAGCCCTAGGGGTGTAATGTAAACAAGTCAAGTTATCTACATTGTGATGTGTGTAGCTTAAATAACTTAGCATCGAGTTAACTTTCCAAATAACATTCGCTCAATTATTTCATATAAAAATCATTGGGCCATTTGACAATTATAGTTAATTATGAGAAAAAATTTACGTAAAGTTACAAAGAATCTGACCTTTGCTTTCTTGGTTTTAAACGCTTTAACGCTACCCAAATTCCCAGTAGCCATAACATCTTCATCTGAAACTGCTTGTTCTGGGCCTAAATTATATCAAAAAGGCATTTGTTATTTCCATTTGCTAAAAAGATTGTATATAACCAGCGAGGTGGTAGCTACGAAAGTTGTTCGATGAATGATCTTATTATACTGCAAGCCTTAAAAATTCATCTTTTTAATACAAAAAGAATGTAATATAGGGTTTTCCAATAAGGGCGGGTGGATTTGGCGACCTGTGGCGGCCATTTTGTGTTGATGACATTTGTGAAATCTTTTGTTAATTATTCAGTTACTTATGCCAAATCAACATAGCAGGTTACACGATTGAACAGAAGAGTAATTGAAAATTTAGCTTTTTATATCCGTGCCACTGTGAGAAACCGTGGCGGCATTTGAAAGATGTCATCTTCCACACCTAATAGCATATATGCACCTTTTAAATGCAAAATATTTTTGTTAAACTCACGCACAGCTTGTTTAAATTCATACCAAAATCAACCCGTCCTTATAGAAAAATCCTTTAACAATTTTCAATACATCATCACCTCTCATTTGTTTATTTTTCTCCCCGTTCGTACTCCCGCTGGGTGGTCGCTGCCACGGTATCGGCGACATGCGATTCTTATTAAACAATTCTACCACCGACCTTGCTTCCACTTCTACCATATTTTCTAATCCAAATAAACGTCAAGATCATGAAAAATACATTCAATATTATAAAATAATTAAATTAATTTAAGTTATCATAGTAGTATGTATGTTTTTGCACCAGCTGTGTTATCCTGAATGAAATTACTTTTCGGACGATGTGACTGTGTTGTCAAGGGAGCACCACGCCATCTGTTCCTCGCCTCGTTAACACGTTGACTGTTAACTATGAAACATTATTCATAAAAAATAACTTAATAATATATATAGATAAAATTTAAAAATTATAATTCTTAAACGAACTCTTAATCTAGAATTTACTGATCCCATTCACTTGTTACAAAATACATTTACAATATACAATACAATCGAAACCTTTTTTAAATATGTGATTATTTGCTATCAGTCTCTTGACTACATCACGTGGTTAAAGAAGAAGAAAGAATACCAAAAATGTGTGAAATTTTACATCTAAGAATACTTAACGTTCCACAACTAGTTTGGAAAGATTTCCAATGACTTGTTTGACGATAATTTATTAAAGAATTAATGTCCTTACTCTGTTGAACCATATTCTCCCTCGGCACGTGCCTACGCCGGCCTCCAGAACTCTGCTTCGACTGTTGTAACTCCGTGTGACGATCCTTGTCTCTGTTACATATTAAAATGTTTCTTTATTTTCACATCAATCTGTTCTATGTTAAGCAAAAAAGTTAACTATATATATATTTTTAATAACTGGAATAACGCAATGAACCACAGCCTGGCATTGAAACACTTAAAAAAAATATTATTGACTATTTTATATAAAATATTAATGCTTTCGTTTTATTTTGAGTAACAGAAACTAAAGTGGCAATCCCTATAAACAATATTGCAATAAGGCAGTCTTGATAGTTCACTAGGCGATAATTCCATAAACTATTACTACTTATTATTATTTAAAAACCAAGATACAAAAACATTACGTTATCCCAACACACTTAAAGCCCACTTACATCAAATAAAAAACAAGTTCACTTTTACGCGTAAAATATATAATTGGTTTATGATGTGCCAGATTAAATGACTTGTATAAACGTATTGCGAAAATGATCTATAACTACCCCCCTTTAAAATGTTGGTTATAAAGTTTTTATTTAAGTATACCATAAAAAGCTATCTCTAACAGGATTCAACATCTTTTAGAAGAAGACGTTATCAAATATGACTCACACTTTGTTACTAAAAAGTATTGAGTTTCGGGGCTGTCTTCTAAAGTAATTTTTGCAATATAAATTAAATTATAATTAAATATTAGTCGCTTTCTTTTATTTAGGACTTAATAAAACGACACATTTCTTTATAAACAAGTTACCTACTTGCTTTATCATTTGTTATGTTAGGATAATGTTAGAAGAAGGAGTCTTCATCTTTTTCCTGGCAATTCCCCAGCTTTAACCAGGTTCTGCCTTACATGTTGTGAATAGTTTTGGCTAATTAAAAACGACTGGCCGCCTGCCTTACATCAACCCTCTTTGGAAATAACTTTTTGTACAGAAAGAGTATACACCTATAATACATACCCCGAATAATTTTCGCTCTGTAGGTCATAAGTGTTTTCATTCTGATAATCGTCTGAATCGTCGTCGTTCCCGCATGCGACTTCTTGTTGCAGTTCTTGTATGTCTATTTGAACACTCCGGCCACTTGTGGCTAGTATAATAAGTAGAACGTTTAGTCAAATTCAGTTCACTTCTTGTTTTGGCATTCGTCAATACAGTAGCGAATATTTGAAGATCAACCACAAAATAGGCTATTTTGATAAAGATTTTAACATTTTCAAGTTATTGAAAAGAGAAAGACTATCTCTTTTACATATTGATTAAGGAGTGTGAATTGAACATAATTCAAATATACCAGCTTTTTGGATCAGTGGCCTATCTTTGAATTTAATTTTGGTTAAATTTTTTTATTGGTATCATCTATAAATCTGTTGCTTGAAGGTTGGAGATCATCGGTAGCTTACCATCTCCGTCTGCTCGAGCTCGTCTCTGTCGGGATTTTGGCAGCGAAATGTTGTCTAGATTCTGTCGGGATGGTTTGACCTACACATTTGTAATAAAATTATAGAGCTCTACAAATTCTTGTTCCTTAAAACTTAATTTTTTGTTGAAATTGTAGGGACTTTCAAATTTCTTTAAAGTAGGATACAAGGATATAAATGAAAGTTACTTTCGTCAGCGAAGTCTAAGCTACCGTTAACGCAAAAAAAGTTTTTAATTTAGGCCATAAAAACCAAACATCGGGACCTTATTCTGAATAGGCGGTTTGAAGTTCTGTTTAAAGCCGTGTACTCTGCCAAGCATTTGTTGCTGTTCTATGATATCCGGATCAAGATATCCGCGGATCGGTTTTGTAGCTCTCTGCGGCACTTCGAGTCGACGAAGACGAGCAGCTTGCTGTGACACCTCTGTTACCAACAAAACTAAACTCGTTCAAATTAATAGATCCAAACCAACGCCAAAAGAACCAAATGTATCAGAAATTATTTGCAAGTTAGCATTCTTTTTTGCGTTTCACTTACTCTTTTTTGGTTGGGCACGAACAGATATAAAAGGCACATTTTCAACACCAGACGCTGGCTCCACAATAGTGGTCATACTGGAAATAACAATTCGAAATTCACATTTCTTAAAAGCAATGGCTGTTAGAAACAGAAATGTATATAAACCTTCGCTTTTTTAGTTTCTTTTTCTTTCGAAGTGATTTCACTAAATCTATTTTCTCTTGTAAATCTTCACACCGCGCTTCAGCATTAGCAAACTGATCGTCTACTTCGGGTATTGAAGCTGGAAAAACATTTTAAATGTTGTACTAACGCAATTTACATATTTTTTTAACCTGTTAACGATCACAATTAAGCGACGAAAACTGTCATCGCCTCAACGGTCCTTCATTTAAATCTTAACTCGCCATTTCGTGACGGAAATATCAGTTTCCTAACAATATCACTGAAGCTTCTTCTTCAAGTAAGTATCAAGTAAGAGACTGTTATACGTGTCGTATTTTCAGTTCTCTTCAAACAACTAACATCCGGCCCAGAAGTTGATTTCATTATTATTCATTATAGAATTTACAAGTTTGCACTTTAAATGATTTCATTTCATTTAAATATTGACGAACCTCTAATATCCAATTTCCTCTCGGAACGAGTAGCCTCTATGCCTCCAACGAGGCTGCTGGAACTTCTATGCCTTTTGTCTGCAAGTGTACAGATTTAAATTAAAGTAAAGGTAAGATAGGTATTATATGAAAACTGTTTGAAAACTGCTATTGATCTTGTAACAAAACACGTTACGCTTTCGTCACTTTAAAACAGACTCCATTGAGTTACTTTTAAGTAACATTGCCTATAATAATTCGTCGTGACGTAACGACATTGCGATCAGCTAACAAAACCTATACAAACCATTAGTTATCTTTATAGTGTCGTCCATATCAACTTTAAATTTTCATACCACACAATATCTTCGTAATAATTTAAAAAATAAAATAACTGCAAATTGATAAATATAAAAAGGGAGTTTAATATTTAAAAGCACTAAAAAATCATTACGTCAATGTTGTCAAAATAATACCAGTTAGAGAACAAGACAACATCGCTTGCCTTCAAATCTATGAACCATGTTTATAAAAAAAAAACTTCCCACTGGCAATCAACATTTTAATACGAAACATAGACAACGTACAAATATTATGGAAAAGTTACACGGTAATAGTGTAAATCTTGTTGGCCGCAGCTCGGTTCTAAATTTAAGAATCTTTACTTTGTATTATTTCTTTAAAGTTTTATTCAATTGATAAATGAATATTTTCACTAAACAACCTTCAAAATTAAACACTACTATAGTTACGTTTTACAAATAAAAAACTGTGAACTGGAATTCAGAAGGCATATTAGGGATATTTTGCTTAGAGATGAGATATTTTTGCCCAACTAATTTTAGTAAAAATTAGCAAAATACATGTATGTATGTAAACAAGTTCAAAAAATACTGTTTCATTTTCAGTTTTATTGCAACTTAAAATTTAATGAGGACTTTAATAAAAGAAGATAATTTTTATAATCAACCATACGTTTTGAGGGTTAATGTTTTTGGGCGAACACAAAATAAAAATACCAATATTAATTCTTACATTTATTAATTCAATATACACCTATAACTAGATTCTGAGAGGAAAAATATGACAAACCAAATTATAAATGACAAACGTTGAAAAATAATTCGCGCATAATATAAGTCTATAACACGAATGCGAATAATAATTAATACTTTTATATTCAGTACATAATGTTTAAATGATTATTTACATATAGTATGTTAGACAATCTAAATGCTCCAATACATGTTTTTATTTATCGTAAATTTTATATATATATACTAGATTGTCATGAGACGTGACACTCAATTAAAAACTTGTAGTGATGTCTGTGCGTAAGACAAAGGTCCAGCCATACAGAGCCATAGAGAACATTGAAAACCATTCGGTGGAATGAATATGTTTTTATTTCAGTCAAATTCACATAGAAATTAATTGTGATTAAAAAAAGAAATGCTACACATACTAAACAAAAAAAATAATAATATTTAAAACTAATAATATATATATACTTTTTTTTTTAATTCACAGCATATTATGACATACTCTGCATAAAAACCCACAAATCTTTTCAGTGATGTATTCAATAGTGCATCATTAATATCTTTGGCTCTAATTATTCCTGACAGTGAATGCTTAGAGAAATTTTTTATATAGTTAATAATAAAATATTACAAATAGTACATCAAAATTATCTGTTACATATTAATAAAATCAATCATATAGATATTAAGAGGCGGATCATCTGTATGCAGGACAATCATTTGTCAAGCGAAATACAAAATTAATTACATAATAAATTGATGATAAATCGCTTCAACATATTTATAAATCTGATTCATTACTTAGAATCATGTTTAAAAACTCATATTGCCATATAACAATGATGCAAACACTTGCAACATCAATTAATCTCTTAGAATCGCCTTCATAGACTTATGTCATATATATTTTTTTTAATATTATTTGTCACAACACTATAGACAAGATAAAGATTGCCACCAGATAAATCCGCCTCTTAAAAAATGTGTTATAAATATGCAAACAACACATAATAATAAATTAAATTAAATTAAATGAGACTTATTGTCTATATGGGAATAATATATCATATTTCGCATTACATTATGACGTAATAAAATGTTTTTTTTTCTATATTATTATTATTAATACGTACAAATGACTTATAAATCTTCATTTATTTCAATAGGACAAATGGCTTGGTATAAAAACTGTTTTTTTATTCAAGTTTTAATTTTATTTGTATATAAGTGTAAAGCACTCATCAGAACTGAAAAGTTCGAGACTTTAATGTCACTATATGTTATGGCGCATTGAAATGATAATAAAAAAAATATATAATAATAATAATGCAATGTTAGCTTATAAAAGTTGCATAGAACGCAGGATCATTATGGGAAGGCCATACACTCGCAAACATTACAAGAGGACGCATATCTTTTTCTTAACTGGTTCCGGTGGTTCGAGGGCTGCTAGTATGGCCTCGTCAAACACATTCTTTAGCCCTTTCTGTAATAACATATATACATATATATTAATTATTTTTCTATACAATAACATTATAATATCTAGGTATATGTAATTAATCTCATTACCTGAGTAAGAGCTGAACACTCCACATATTTAACAGCTTTCAGCTCCTTAGCTAATTTCTCTCCCTGTTCAAACGACACAGGCTTCTGTTTTATCTTAGCCAGTTTCTCCATAGTACCAGGATCATCTCTTAAATCAATCTGAGTCCCTACGAGGAGAAATGGTGTCTTCTGTTGATGATGAGTAATCTCCGGCACCCACTGTAACATTTACAAATTAATAACTACTACATAAATATAAACTCTATTATTAATATATAAGTGATATAATTTACCTTTTCTTTAACATTTTCAAATGAACTGGGACTTACAACACTGAAGCATACAAGGAAAACATCTGTTTGCGGATAACTTAGAGGTCTCAGTCTATCATAATCTTCCTGACCTAATAAACAAGATAATATAAATAATAATTGACAAACAAAAGGACCACAATATATATATAGGTTTATATGGTACCTGCAGTATCAAAAAGTCCGAGAGTGTAAGGTTCCCCGCCAATCATAACGGTGACAGCATAATTATCAAACACAGTCGGCACATACTCTGAAGGGAACTTGTTCGTTGTATAGCTTATAAGCAAGCAAGTTTTACCGACTGCTCCATCACCCACAACAACACATTTTATAGTTTGCATCTTAGAAACTTTGTGTTAAATATCTTCAAATTATTATATATTTTAATATCCCTCCTTGTCTCCAATAGATTTCTTTGTCATAGCACCCCACACAGCTATAGTTTCCTAAGGACAGAATGAATTGAACATTGAATGTATTATAATTACCATACCACAAAATAAATTAAAAATAAAATTATTGTCTATGAAACAAGCATTATATTATAATCTATATTAATTTTCCTCCATAGATTACTAAAAATACAGATAATTAGTATTCGAAGCTTAAATATTCCAAAATTTCAATAAATAGTTTCTTTTTAATTTTTATATCAGATATTTAAAAAAAAATAAAAATGTATTAGAAATTAAATAATTTGGTTATATTATAATGTATTAAACTTAGATTACATGGTTTATTTGAGTTTATCCTTAATTTTAACAACACATGATACTTATATATCACAAAGAAAATTGTATTTTTTTTCTCGTATTAGTCAATCCACATAGTGATTTAAATATTTTGTTATATTAGTCTCTCCAATATAAATACAAGCACTAGTTTTTTCAAACATTAGTTCATACTTTGACAACGAATTTAACTTTTCTTGTATATACAAGTAGAGATATTTTGTTTCTTTTATCTCTTCAAGTGATTCAAAGACACTTAAAACTTCCTTATGACTTGAAGTTTGAATTGAATTCAATATAATAAAACATGCCATCAAAATTATTTTAAAAAATGCAATACTTGTAATGTAATTATTTAATAAAATTTATATGTGTTTTTGTTTAGAAAAATAATATTGTTTATAGTTATTTTTCATATATCATTTAAATAATTACAAACTACAGTTTTTCACAACATCAAGACACTGAATCAAAATAGTCACAATCACACAATCTTTTAATATATTTAAATTTAGTATTAAAATTTGTTTAAAATAATGAGAAAAATAGGTTATTAAGCATTGTTTACAATTTGTTTTAATAAATAATATTTTAATACTTTGATAAGAGTCTTTATAGTAAAAATAGATTAAGTTGTAACATTTTTGCGTGGATTAGAATACTAGTCTGATAACTTTATACAATCAGAATGGTCCTCAGATAAGTACCTTTGTCATTATTTTAACTTTTGCAACCAAAAAGGTTTTATTTACTAATTTAAAAAAAGTAAAATGCAATGCCCACAGTAAATTATAATTTTGTGAACAATGTTCTGTTATTTAAAAAAAATTCGCAGAAGCATAGGTTTAGTTTATTTTAATAAACAAAGAGTTTGATGTCCTTTGTAACTACAGACCTATCTGAAGTTAAATATTTTAGTAATTACTGTTTAAGTTAATTATCTTCTGTGATAATGACATTCTTGGAAACAAAAAAATAAAATGTTTTGAAACTAAATTGCGTATTAAAAAAAAATACCTGTATATTACATATATTCTAAAATCATATTAAAAAGCAACGAAAACTCGCCAAGCAAATTATAAACGCAGAGATACTGTTTGAAACGCCGTGGTACATGGCAAAGCTACTGACTAAAGAGGACAATGACCTGATTGTATGTCATGTAAATAGAACAGTGGCTGGCTATTAATCTGTATTTAGTGGAATAACAACAGATTTAGACAGAAACTAGATCGCTACACTAATTACAGGACAACTCCAACCACTTAATCGGCATCGGGCATGCCCTCTTACAAACCACTTCTAAACTATGCATAAGGTATGCATGTGAATAATACCGTACTATGACATTATTCCCTAACATCTAATGAACCAATATTATTTAAGCGATGTTAATAATCTACGTCTCAACAACACTAGATATTGTCGTATATATTACTAGAAAATATATTTTTTTACATAATCACGTCACAATACATTTTGACGTCCATTTTGTGTCGGGACTTAGAGTACGAAAATTTAAATTAAGAATATACAAAGTTTTTTATGAATATAGGTATATTTTACTTACGGTTAACCACAGTCAAACTGATAAAACTCAAAAAGTTAACTCAAGTACCCGTAAATCCAGGTAGAATTTACAATTTGCAAGCGACGGGTTGGGTTCTTGACGGTGACGCCATTGATTGAGTCACAGATACGAAATAGTTTTGAATAAATAATATTTATCTATGGAACTCTTGAAAAAATTAATATTTTGCTTGAGTTAAGAAAATAAGTTTTATATTACTTTAAACCATCCTCATTTTAAACTAATAACTGATTTGGAATTAAACTACAATCCAATTCAAGTAATATGCTTTTAATCTCTATCCCCTACAGAGAATTTTTCTTAGTTCTCTAAGCATATTTATAATAATTATTAATTACTTTACGACTTCTTTAGGCACTCATATTACAAATTAAATTCTTCGCTTCTGGTTTAAAAAGACAAGGTACTATAAAAAAATCTTTGGAGTGAACTAAAAATTTGATATATCTCAATGGACATGTTAAATCAAATATTAAAAGATACAATAATTAAAGTGCATTACGTCTCTATTAAAAAAAAATCGTAAAATTTTATTTATAATAAAGTAAAAGACATTACGTTAATACTTATTCTGTAAATTCTATTTCGTTTAACTCCTAACATCATATAAATCAGGAATGAAATTTCAGGATTAAGTTTAAAAAGTCTTGACAATCTGTAATCAGAATATTTGTGAAACAACAATTACACCAGTAAAAAAGAATACTTACTTTTAAATTTAGAATAAAATTCTTGTCAAATAAAAATCTAATTTTCTATCACATTTTAGTAATTTTAATGATCAAATCTTCTCAGTGATACAAAAAATTAACCGTAAGAAAATAAACTTCTGCAACTGTTCAAAATGCTGTTTCTCGGTGATGTTTTTCCAAATTTCACAGCAAATACTACTGCTGGTGAAATAAATTTTCATGAATGGCTTGGCTCCTCGTAAGTTTCTCCTATTAATATAAACAAACAATCAACATATGTTAATGTAAAATGTTTGTGTTCTTAGGTTAAAAAGTTAATGTTTTGTAAAGAAAATGTATTAAGAAATATATTTTTTCGTATTTCAGTTGGGGTATCCTATTCTCACATCCGTCTGATTTCACGCCGGTCTGCACGACTGAACTCGCGAAACTACTTAATCTGCTTCCAGAGTTCGAAAAGCGGAATGTGAAGGTTATCGGCTTGTCCTGTGATTCGATTTCCTCTCATATAGAGTGGTGCAAAGATATCAAAAGCTATGCAGGTTGGTTACAGTAATATTCGACTGGTAATCTAAGTACATAGGGTAAGAAACATAGTTTGTACTTAATTCCCAATCCATTGTAAATTTATACTGGATTCTTAATATACCTATAAATTATAACTTTACATTGTAATGTTACATTTTGAACTGTAGAGAATGAACATAATTTATTTTTGTATAAAGAAGTCATAGTCAGATGAAAATGCATACCTTATAAATTTGATAATATATAACATTGCTTTCACCATTTCAATATCAATACAAAAATTAAATCAAGTTAATTTAATTTTCATACAATATTAATCAGGAAATTTCATATAATTCCAGGTTGTAACGAAGATGAGAAGTTTCCATACCCTATAATTGAGGATCAGGACCGAAGTCTGGCTAAGAGCCTCGGAATGGTTGATAAAGATGAATTAGACCAAAAGGGCATGCCGCTGACGGCCAGGGCTGTGTTCATCGTAGATGTTAACAAGAAGTTCCGTCTTTCTTTATTATACCCTGCGACCACGGGAAGAAACTTTGAGTATGTTTTAACACTACCAAACTTTACATATACCCTCACATATAAGTTATAATTAAACAAACATCAGTTACTCAAAATCTTATGTAGTTTATAGTGTTATAGGTAGTATATTTATGTACTAAAAGTTCCGAGTGCTCTCAATGAATGCCGGTATACGGAGAAATCTGACAGGGATTTGGTAATACCGTAAAAGAAATTTGTAGTGTATTATATGAATAATAATAAAATTAAAAATTAAAAAAAAGACTTTATTTGGTCAAAAGTATATTATATATGAATTCCATTGCAGTTGATAGATTTTAATTATTCTTGCCTTAATTTGTATTGTAATGACAATAATTTTGTATATTTCTACTTACAGTGAGATTCTCCGTGTAATAGATTCCCTGCAGCTCACTGATAAGGCTAAAGTGGCGACGCCGGTTAATTGGAAGGTATGGTTTCCAAAAATCTGTTAAAAATAGTATATATTTCTTTTTAGCTTTAGTTCATAGTAAGTAAAAACATGGAATTTGGTAAAAAATATTTTTTTTATGTAAATAATTTAGGCTTTTTATCTGAATAATATATATATAACATAAATCTAAACTGTCAATAGTAACAAGAACTATGAGTAGTCATAAACATAAAAATTGTTGTACATTTAACGTCCTTATGTAATTAAAGGCTTAATTATCACAACATATTTGCTCTACAAGAAAATTAACATTATATTGATAGAAAAAATATTGAAATACATATGATAATTTGGTAGTGGTAACAAGTATAGGTGAGAATTAATGACAAAATTTGTCCATTTACCTCTCTTTTCCTTAACATATAAAGAAATTACATCTTTACATCACACTTTAAAACTACATATGTTCTTTTCACTTTACTAACTGTTAATAATTAATATTAGTTTTGTAATGCCTTCATCACTAACTCCCCAAATCACTTTAAAAACTTTAACCAAATCATAATGACAAAATAAGAAAAAAATATATATTTCAATGTTAATTTTACTTTAAGTTCAGTTCCATAAAATGATATGCACAATGTACTATAACTAAATTGACATTTAGTAGGAATAAGTTAGAACAAATATTAATAGTATCGTTTATTTTAAAATGTTACTCTAAAAAAGCATTTTCAAAATTGGATCATGGAGGTTTTATCACGAAAAAGGTTGTCTATACAATAAAAAAAATCTTTGGTAGTTAAAGTCTAGTCTTACACGCTTGAGTTGCTTTGAGATTATGTAAAAACTGAATGAGGTTGCATGGACATTTGGTACGAGCTAAATGTATTATTAGGGAAAATTTAGGATGTTAGTGTTTGAAGCCATGCATGCCATTTTGATTGTAGTTCAACTTTGGCTACTTTTTAATAAAATCATTTATAATACCAGCTGACCTGGCAAACATTGTTTTGCCATAAAAATAATTGGTGATAAAAAAGTTAAAATTTTGGCTTGTATTTTTTAATTAAAATAAGAGTGAACTACCCTTATGACTTAAGGCTATGACAAATAGATGTTGGCCGATTCTTAAACCTACTCAATACGCTCACAAAATGTCACTAAAATTGGTCCAGCCGTTTCGGAGGAGTTCTGTCTAAAACCACGACACCAGAATTTTATATATAAGATAATCATACAATTTATCAATACATATGTCTTAATAGTATAGGAAGAGTTTATTTATGTGACTAATTGATAATAACATAATGTACAAACTATTATTACATATATTTCTATTATTATATAACAATTGTTACAGTACATATTGCATTACTTGTAGATTAGTGATGGTGCTTGCGAAGCTACCCACATACAACCACCAAAGCTATTTTTTTAAATATTTTTTATGGCATTTGTTTAACTGTTTAAAATAGTAATAATAAACTAACCAATCTTCGTTTCGTTTACTTTTATTATAAAAAATATGAAAATATTGTACTAATTTTGTGAATGAATCCTTAATACTTTAATAAATAAATGAAACTTAAGTCTAACTTTTATATATTTACATTTACATGTATTTTGATTGTTTCAGATGGGTGATGATTGTATGGTGCTGCCAACAATACCTCAAGATCAAGTTACCAAGTTCTTCCCAAAAGGTGTCACCGTGGTGCCCCTGCCTTCGGGCAAAAACTATCTGAGGAAGACTGAATGCCCCAAACTGTAATCTGTGATATATTCAAGAAGATAATCCAAAGATGTAACGTTTATGAAAAGCATTGTCGAATATTTTTGTTACTATTTCAATAAATATTATATATTGAGTAGGTACTTTCTTTTATTTATTTATCCAATATTGTGACTTGTTCCGTAATATATGACTTTTTCGATTGATTTTAAATAAACATTCTTTAATAGCTAGAGATTATTCGATTTTATACAATTGACCAATATTTTCAGCCTGAGAAATTTAAAAATGGTTAATAGAATTGTGTGTATACTTTTTTGTAGCTTCATTTTACTGAATAGGTAAAATATTTTGACAATATAAAAGTTTTTATTTTTAACGAAATCTAATATATTTGAATACTGCCCGGAGAGAACAAAAGTAGTTAGTATATTAGAAAAACAGCTTTAAGTATGTATATAAATTTATTTTTATATATGACAAGTAAAATAAAAGTAAAATATGAAATACGGTGTTACCGCAAAAGTTTTTAACAAAATCACATTGATATATCTCTTAAACTCACGCTCTCACAATATACCAATATGCATCAGCATAATTAAAATGCAAGTTTGGTGTGTTAAATGACTTCTAAAAAGTGAAAAATATTAAAATAATATTATCTTTTAGGATCGAAACCTTCGGCTACCCCAGACGATTATTTGTTGCCAGCATAAAAATTAAGAAAAAAAATAAAAAAATAACTGGCAACTCTGTTTAAACACTCCACGAGTCATGACCTGTCATCTACAACGAGGGTATATCCAATTATAACTATGGATGATTTTTTTTAATGATTGTCCTTAAAAAAACTGTTCTAAATGTTTTCTCCCGATATAAATCTCTTTATGTAATTACCATTTCCAGATAGGTCAAGAAAGTTTTGATTGTTATAGTAACTGTCTATTTAGTCTTTTTTTTATCTGTTTTTGCGATTGAAATTATTTAACCAGGTACCTACATACTTCGGTCAACATTGTTTAAATGTTAAAAACCTGATTATATATTATTCTTTTAATGTATTTTTATCTCAAACGAATCTTTTCCCTGCATGAATTAGATTATAAAATATATTATTAAACCAAAATCAATGACTGGATTTTTTAAATTTATTTATACCTGTATCATATTTATTACCAAAATGCCGTTATAGCTTTATAGTATATGCCATTTTTATTTATGTTATTGTTAAAATATTAAATAAATAATATTATTTAATTTTTATATGGAAATATAAAATGCCATTAAATATAACATTTACATACATACGATTATACGATACATACGATTTTCACTCACAGTCATTTATCTTAACTCCACGTCCGTTTTAACGATTTTTCATCGTCATTTCAGTCTTTTAAGAAATAAGATGTTTATTTTCTTCTTAATTTAAATTGACAAACACATAATAGGGGTCGTAGATATTAAAAGTGGGAATACGTTGAAGATAAACTTGTAGTAGATATGGAAAAGAGGAATGAATATGTATTAGAATAATTTATACAATACTACGACGTGATTTTGAATATATTTATTTATTTATTTATTTAACAATTTTTTAAACATCAGAAACATAAAGGACAAAAGAATATAACACAGGAAAAATAAGTTTAAAAGGTATACTTATCCCTAGAAGGGATTTCTTCCAGTATACCCGGGAAGGGAGAAGTGTAGATAGAGAACTTAAGGTAGACGGAAAAATCGAACAAAGGATAAAAGATACAACAAAAAAACAAAAAAAAAACATAAACTAATACTAAACAAGAAGAAAAAAATAATAATAATAATAACAAAAAAAAAACATTAAAATTAATTTTACTTAAAAATATATATTAAAAGATAATTATACATACATAAACTAATATATAAATACATAAATAAATAAATATGTCTATGCCATTTAATTACGAATCAATATTGGATAGGAAGTACTCTTTTAATTTCTTTTTAAAAGTGTAGAAGGACTTACAAGTGCGAATAGTAGCCGGTAGTGAATTCCACAGTCTCGCTGCATTGACAGAGAAAGAGTTTGAGTAGAAATTGGAAGTATGGGATGGGATACGGAGTAATAACTGGACATTGGGGCGACAAGGGGAACCAGGGGGATGCAGGAATGCAAAACGCTCACGAAGGTAAGTAGGGTACAGGGGATTAAATAGGACGTTGTAAAGGAGACATAAAACGTGAGTATCCCTGCGAAGTCTTACGGGAAGCCACTTGAGTTCAGCTCGATATTTGGAGATATGGTCAAATTTGCGGAGTCCGAAAATATACCGAATACAAAGGTTTTGTAGCCTCTCAAGTTTATTAAGTAGTTCTTCAGTAGTGTCAAGGTAGCAGGAATCAGCGTAGTCTAAGATAGGTAGGAGAAGAGACTGGACAAGAAGAATTTTAGTTTATATTTATAATCGCATTTGCTAATACTTATTTATATTTGATTATTTGTTTAGATATAAAAAGTTTACACTAAAAAGACAATAATATATTTTGTAGGCATATCATTATCACAACAGGTATGTATTTTTTATATCTCGAGTGAGATAATTTATTAAAAGACTACCAAAACAAAAATCGTACCCGCCTTACGCCTACGTTACACTATTAACAACCCAAATAAAACTCGTTCGCGCTCCTCAGCATCATGACACATTGAGTGTTTTAATCGATGCCTTTCGTCATTTTAGTCGTAGTAAGTCTAAACAATAAAAGTTTGATGTAATAAATGTATATAACGCCGCTAGCGTATACCTAGTTATGAAAGGACATTATATCTGTGCAAGGATTGGTACAACCGGCTGGTGCGACTGTAGATACATCGAGTGCGAGAAACAGTGAAAGCCTTCGCTTTCATCGTAGTGGGGAGTTCGGCTGCTGTAGCGTTCAACAAAAGTGAAGGTTTGCGGCTCGGGTATCGGTGTATCGGCAAGTCGGTGACTAGCTATCGTGAGATTCGGTCGTTTCGATCGTCCCGGTCCCGTGATGTTCAGGTGCTGGCTGGTGTTGACACTGGCAGCGACCGCTGTGGCGGCTGGGACTCGCCTCCCGCGTACCTCGCAGCCCGCAACCAACCCACCTCAATCTACCGCTCCCCGTCTACCCCAAAGAAACTTCACTATATCTTCCCGTTCCACGGTCAGAAACAGGTCAGTCAAACACTTACCACTTATGGAATTATCGACTTCATACAAGTACACATCATAAAGTTGTATATGTTGTCACGTCTTATATAGTAAGATATACACATTTCTGTGTATATCTTACTATATAAGACGTGAAACGGAAAGATAAGTTTCTGTCAATATTTGCATACCTTCATTTGGGTTACCACACACCGTTGTCAATGTTATTGTAGTTTGTTCGTCGTAGCCTTTTAAAATATTTTCTTTCTCTAATAAATAATATTATTAAAAATTTAAGTAAAAATTAAGTACATTAAATTTTCCTAGTTTAATTAAAACAATGTATACTAATTGAATCAAAATAATAATGTAAGATGAAAGTTTTTATAATAAAATAACTTATGTATAACATTTGGTTAAAGTTGCATGAATGTTAATGACTTAAATAAATTGGTATCATGTACGTAATAAAAGTTGGTTACCGCTGAGGGCCATTCACTTTATAATTATTTTTACATGTAGTTTTATTAATTCCACCCTGTATGAAATGTCACGAATTAATACAAAATTTTAGGAAATAAAAACTTTTGATTTAACGTATTTATAATAAAAATAACTTCAAAGGGCCCATTACCATTAATTAGTTCATGTTTTTATAGAAGATATATTCTTGATTGGATTTATTTAATCAACAGTCGTTTGACCTTACTTTGATTGGGTTCTTAATATGTAACGGGAACCATTAACTGACTGTTAATTTATGATTTTAAATGGTATCTTCACATTTAAATATCATTTGATCTAACTGTTTGTAATGTCACAAGTTTTTGAACCTAAGGAAAATACGTTAATAGATAAAATATCAAACAGATATTAAAACATATGAAGACTTCCTTTTGTCCGCTTATAAAATGTGACTGGTTTAAAAGACTATTGATTATTGAATGGTATGGATTGATAAAAAAAAATACCAAAAATTTAAAAATTCCGATACAAAAATTAATACATAATATAATAATCGGATATGGTTTAATTTCGAACTCGTTATTTGTCTATAATAAAACAAGTTTTATATGATTTATAGTTCTTACGTATGTTGTATAATACTTATAATTAAATATATTTCTCTGTATTACAGCTAAATATTCTTTGGCATTAAACTTAAACCCAATTCTTTCTTTTTCTATATAAAAAAATACAAGGGCTCGAAGCTAAATTTATATTCCAGTCCTTCGCCTTTATTTAGGTTTCGGGTTAAAAAACGAAACAAAATTTTATTACCCAGCTAAAATTTCGATTCGTTTTATTAACCGTGACATAGAGACTGTATTATTTTGTTTATTTTTCATATTAACACATATTTTTTTCGTAATTTCATTTCTTTCATTATCTACAGTACAGATCATAAATCTTTTGTGCGTAAACTTGTCAAGTACAACAACTTAAACAAGTAAACACTTGCACCACATTTACAAAAATGTTAAATTCGATTGAAATTACAAATGAATTATTGTAACTTAAAAGAGGAGAGGTCAATAAACTGAATGTTTTTATTGACAAAACCAGACGTAGAAATAGATTTTTGATATAAAAACAGGAAGTTGAGATAGAATATTCATACCTATATCATTATAAACAAAATTAGTCGTTAATATATTCATATTCCATGTTTTTTTCGAATGCTCAAAATGGAATCGAGAAAACTATAACTAACTGTATCAAGTGTCAATATATGTAGCTACATAATAATGAAGACCACAGATAATGGTTTTAATATTGATTTACTGTTTTTTTATAAAAATTACCTAAATGAAGACTGTCAATTGTGCATAAAGGTATATCTAACCAACTTTCAAGTACGTGAGTTTTGTATATTACTATCAATTATTCGTGTTTTTATTTTCATTTAAATAAGATTGTTTCTTATTTTGATAATACAGAAAGTATTAAATAGTAAAACTCAATCAGATTTTTTATGATAAATCACCCAAAAGTTATCATTACTTTAGTGAGCCCAATGCTTTGCACTGCTGGGTAATAGGAATTTTATTTTTAAGGCTATAAATTGTCAGTATTTTTGTAACTTTTTAAGCGATTTACATGATACATGATATTTTACACAGAATTGTTCACAATTTTATAGAAATCTGGAAATCGGTATATTATATATGGAGGAGTATATCCACATTTCAATATATATCTGAAAGTCTGTCCCACTGAAAATAGTGACCAGCAACAATATGTTCCAAATGTTGACACACCAAGGAAGTAGTAACTGCTGTAAATAATATTTATTATATGCAACAGTCACATAAAATATTATATATTATTTGTCTGCAAATTATTGTGGAAGTATCTCCGAAGAGAATACTATCGGTAGCATTTTAAATTGCATGTCAGTCAGAGATATCCTAGCCGCATACCGCGTGTACATCACTGCTTTCCATTTTCCAGCTCATAAATTCTTTATTCTACTCAATAAACATCTTTTTTTGTATCGTATTATAAAATTTAAATTATATTTCGTATATCGCTAACATAATAGGGCAACACAATCAACATTCACTTCCCCGTAACGACAGTCTACAGTTGGTGAAACGAAATTAAATATTTGGTTTTAAATGTGACAGCTACAAGTTTTCCGTATCATTACATATAGTTATTCAAGCAATTGAGAACCTGTATCGTATTATATCATAGCAAGACATTATGTCTAATACATTTAATGATAATAATGCTACATATTTCAAGATATATTTTATTAAAACAACTTGTGTATCGGCTAGTCTGGATGAAAGAATAAAATGCTGTTAAACGAGATCAAGGTCAGTCTCTGTTATTGTTACTCTACTAGAAACGCTAAATACGGGTGTTAATAACTTAACTGCTACTTAACGGCCGGTCTATTTAGGTCCATTGACGGGACTATGACCTTACCATAAGTGTACGAAATTCTTCATGAAAGAAATTCCTCGTAGTCGGTCGAGATATGTTATTTGAATCGTTTGATCTCATCAATTATTTGGAAGGGGCCTAGCTTCCAAGGTCGCGGTGCACACATGATAATTTATGTTAGACTCGAAGACATTCTGCATCTTAGATTGCTTGAATAACAATTTACATTACTTCAAGCGCCCTTTTCAAATAGTGGCATCCTTATCGCACTCGTTAATAAAAACGTATACGGTGGTCGTTCTCTATCCAACGAAATGTCAATGTCGACCTACGCTCTGGTACAGGAAGAGAGGCTGGGCGTGCTGGTTCATATACTTGTCTTTACTAACGAATCTGTAACAAGGACGACGCTACACAAAACACAAAAATTCATAAACGTTTTTTACTTCTTATACCTGTCTAGTATCCTTACTTGACGGCGTTTAAAGACCCGTGCTAAGACTAAAGATATACGTACTGAAATAAGAAAGGTTCTTTACGTTAGCTTCGAGTGAATCTGTCTTGTTATTAAACTACTACAGTGCATACAATCTATTCAGAACCGCTTGGTCGAACTCGGAGTAATACCTATAACGTGAAGTTTTGCGCAATGTAACCCGATTGCAGGCGGAAGCATGTCTATGTTAATATATAGTTGAATGCAGTTGTTTTCCATTGAAACGTAACGATCTGGGTGTAGCCAGGTGAACTAGGAATGGTATCGTTTGCGACATTACTGACAAGGCGAAAGGTATAATTTCTATGTAGCCTGCAATCCGCTATGCCACTACTTTAGCATAGAAACATCTATAAGATCGTTTAAATTAACTGAGTAATGAAAAAATATATAGGTATTGCTATTACATGTACAGATTTAAAGAATTCTTAGAATTCATTTGTTAATTGTCACTATTGTTTAGGTTCTAAACTATTTCCACGCGAATACTTTCTAATTATCAAAGATTGCAGATTTCTTCTACACTGGATAGAATAAATTAAGATTTAATCGGCGTGACTTTACTGTTAGAGTACAGTTCGAAAGAAATTTAACACTACATATAAAACGATATTTATAAAAATAGTCATAGTACTTGAAATAAAGGTAATATATTTTTATAGATTCATAATAATTAACATCTACTTAATGCATATTTCTAATTTTAAATATTATAAGTTACGAGTCCGCAGTCCACTGTCGAAACGTTATCGAAAATAATTTTAAATTGCGTCCGACGAAAGGCGGATTACAACACAACTAGCTCTTAGTATCTTAACAGTGTTTTGAAAACGTGTCTTTTTAGGTACAGATAAACAAAAGAAGTATTCTGTTATAATTCTTAGAATATTATCACGAACGTTACTTTATTTCACGTCTGATAGACGACAGATCCAAACGGCCTACTTACTGCGTTGAACGTTGCGAAAGATTATTAATTTTCTATAGTTTGCACGACAATAATAAATTTGTTGTACATACATTCTTTGTGATCGATACACAGCGGACAAACAAAAAGCTTGACGAGGATTAAATTACAAAACTCATAACCTTGATACATCAGATTATATGAACATTTACAATCCGAACAGTCGTACTAAATTGTGGCCGTTGAGAAAATTAAGTTGACATTGTGTTGCCAACAAGTTTGGCTACACTGTCTAGTGGTTCCTTTAGATTCGAGATCAATGCTCTCATGAATATAAAAGAATTGATTTGGACTTTTTACTGTTATTTAATTTCAATGGCATATCGTGTATAATATGTTAAATTTTAATAGCGAAACATATGTACATAACTTGTTTTATATTATTGAATGAGCGTGTAACAGTCTATGTTTTTAGTTATTGAACACGCGTTATAAATAAGACTCTATGCACCAAATAAAATAGTACTGTTATATGTATTTATTCTATGAACAAAAAAACAGCAAATTAGTCCCTCCATATTTATATTTTAAATGAATTTCGTTTTTATTTATAAAATTATTGGAGTTTTACAATCAAATTAGAAACTAAGACAAAACAAACTAATTTAAGATAAGGATGAAGACTAGAGCCTGTCCAGAACTAGCATCAATTCATTCTTAGAACTT